AGTTAATAAATACCAGCTGCTGAGGAGGTTACCATGTAAATAAACCTGCATCTCTTTATTGCCCAGAAATCAAACACCCAGCAGTTGTCACTCAGCTGCTGGATTAGCTCAGCCCTCAGAGCCACAGATGGGAATTTGGATTATTAAAGGGTTTGCACTGCACAGACCTAAATCAGAGCACACACTTGTTCCTGGATCTGATTTCCAACTCCAGCTGGTAACTCCACCAGCCAGAGCTGGTTTAAGAATTACAGATGAAAATAACTGCAATTTCTGTTTTGACTACAGGATAAAGCACAATGGGAGAAAATATTTGTATTTCTTGTGCTTGATTACACAAAACATTTCCCTGTGCAGCTCGCTGGCTCCTCCAGCTCCATTGTTTGCCAGGGAAAAAAAAAAAATAAAAAACAGGGTGCAAAAAAAAACTACTGAGGTTGTGATTTATTGGTGAGAGAAGGCTAGAAAACAGCCTGGGTAAATTGTTCCACATCTGAAATTCAGCTCAGCCCCAGCCCTGAGCAGGTGATCCAAGCAAAATGTTGGTGCTGCATGGGAATAGAACAACATTAATATTTTGTGTCTCAGTTTGATTATTTGCAGAAGTCACCAGAATGTGCCTGACTTTTCCAGCCCTAATAGAAACTTGATGAGCTTTGCTTTGCTGCCCTGCTCACAGACACTGATTTATCTTCCAATTACTAAGCACATATTCAGCAAATGGATACAACAGCTCTGAAAAAAGCTCTTCAGTAAAACTCAGCTGTTCCATCCTTTTAAGCCAAGGATGAGAGCCTCTCCCACAAGAGCCATAAAATCCAAACTAAACAAGACCAATATAAAATAACAAATTAGGAGGTCAGGAAGAGATTACCTCAAATAGCAGAATTAAAAGAAATCAGCACTTCAAGTTCAAACTCAGGTCATTCTAAGAGCTGAAATAGCTCTTCAGGTAAAGGTGTCTCCAAAGCCTCTTTGGAGAACTGATTGGGAACCCTCTGCGGGGCCTGTCTGGGGTTAAATCCCCTAAATCCTGGATTAGTGACCTGCTGCAGACTGGGATGGCTCAGCAGCCAGGCAGGCTCTGGCAGCAGCAGGAATTTGTGAAGGACCAAAGGATTCCCACTCCCTGTCAGAGAAAGGAGCTGGGATCTAAAGGAGGCTCAACAGCAAAACCCAAATCCACACAGCATTCACCACTGACTTTTTAAATACTCTGATTTTCTCTCCTTGTCCTTAAGGAAGTGCCAAAGGTTTTATCTACTACTTTACTTAGAAGGAAAAAAAAGAAAATACTCTGATTTTTCTCTCTTTGTCCTTAAGGAACTGCCAAAGGTTTTATCTACTACTTTACTTAGAAGGAAAAAAAAGAAAATACTCTGATTTTTCTCTCTTTGTCCTTAAGGAACTACCAAAGGTTTTATCTTCTACTTTATTTAGAAGAAAAAAAAATAAGAAAAAAGAAAAGAAGAGAGATGAGTGATCTAAGCAATAGTCCCAGTGAGTCATAGGCAGAAAATTTCTGTTCTTGAAAAGGATGCTGCAGTGCCTGAGGCAGTGCCTGCACGGCTCAGAGCTGCCTCATTCCACAGAAATCTCTCCATGGTTTGTTCAAAGGTGATCCCTGCCCTTTGTTTCACACCAGGACATTCCATCCTCAAAAACCCAGAGCACTCTCCAGAGCCCTGCACCAATAAATCACATTTGCATTACAGCAAAGATGGGGCCCTCACATGGGGCAACAATTTTTTTTTTTACTTATATTTGAATTTTTTGACTATTTTTTTTTACTTAGAGATGGGATAATTTAGAGGTGTTTTAAAAACTTTTAGTTTTATGAAAAGGGTGAGATTATACAGGTGTTATAATTTATTACAATTAGAAGATGACTATTTTTTAATTACAAAACACAGCACCCCAGGTGCTCCTGGGGAAGGTCAGGTCCCTGCTGCCCAAAGGATTTCCCACCTGCAGGGTTAGGAAACCCCAGCACAGGGCAGAAAATTGGGGCTGCTTGTAGAAAATTCTTCAAGTTGGATAGAAGGTTTTTATAGTGTGGATTTGTATTTAAATTTTGAGATAAGAAATGCTGACTTAGAAATGCCATGGAATGGGACAGACGTTGCTGAGAGAGAAATGGAACCAGAAACAAGTTTCAAAAGGTGGCCTTGCAAATAAAACTAAATTCTTTGGAGAAATAGAACTATGAAAGATGTATTATTCCACGAGGGGTAATTTTAGATTATTAACTTTAAGGCATTTACAGAACTGTGTGGCTCAAGCTGATAGGCCAAGAAACACTTAGAATGTATTGTAATTAAGAAATAATTAACTTCAGATTGTGATGGTGTGAATTATTGTATTGTCTCAACCTTCACGTGAGACTGAAAATGGAATAAAAGTTTTGCAAACACCTCTCAGTTGCCCCATCTCTGGGTCAGAAAAGGGCTCAATCCAACAGCTGCTCTGCAGCAGTGCCTTTTTTATTTTTAATTTCAAAGGGAGTAAAATGATGTACCTTAAAGCTCAACTAAAAGACACAAGCAGACATCCCTGAGTAACTGACTTGGAGATAACTCTGGTATTAATAGAAAGAGTAAAAAACCCCTCATGTCTATTTTTATAGAGATGTGTGTTTTTATAGATACACCAAATTGTGAAGCTCATTTCACAGTAGGATCTGGCTGGATTCTCGTATTAACACTCCAGAAATTTAACATATTAAAGCTCCAGAAACAGCCTAATCTGGTGGATAAATACAAATCTCAGAAGGGAGATTCTCTGGCCAGGAACATCCTTCCTCTGCCAGGAATTTTGGCTCAACCAAGGCTGGCACCACCTTGGCAAAATCAGCTCCAGGCAGAGCTTCCCACACGGCAGGAAAAGCAGCTGCAAATCCCACACCACAGTAATTCCACTTGGCATTCCACAGATGGATTCAAGGCACAGTGATATTTCAAAGACAGGCAAAAAAAAAAAAAAAAAGAAAAAAGAAAAAAAGTAAAGAAAATCAAATCAGAGATAAGCTGATTTCTTATTCCTTCTCCTGAAGGCAAGAGGATTACATGATTCATCTTCATGCTCACTTTAGGAGGTGCAAATAAAAGTGAGACTATTTTTGAATTCTTCCTCAGGACAGGAGAGCAGATTTCCCATGTTTTGGCAAATCATGAGGAACATAAAATTCCAGATGCTGTTCCACAGGCATCAGTGCAGCAAACACCTCCAAAAAAGTTAATGTGCAGAGCAGGAGTAAGTGAGAAAGTGCTGCTCTTCAGTGAATAGACCCCAAAAATAAATCAACAATTTGGGAGTGCAAGATCCCTAGCCTGAGAACAGCAAACAGCAAAACTTGTCTGAGAAATTCTTGAATTGTGGGGGAGCTGAGGAAGAGAAAAACCAGAGCAGAAATCATCCTTTTGTCACTTTAGAAAAACAATCTGCAGATTTCTGTTTGCTGCCTTTTTTTTTTTTTTTTTTTCCAAGCAGTTTCATAAAACCAAACCAAGCCTGGCATTCTGCTGTAGAAAAAAACCTTTTAAAAGCCAATCAGCAAAACCTGAGCACTGCCTGATATATTTACATAAAATTCTTTATAAATTATCCAGACATGTACAAGTTAGGTTCTACTGGGTTATTTTGCACAGATATCTCTCTTTTGGAGAGCACCAGGGTGGAACTGAGCCCCATAAAACAGAATTATTCTATAGAACAAAACTTTTTGGTCATAAAACCCAAAATAAAACCCATTAAAAAAATAAATAAAACCCAAAATAAAACCCAGCAAAAATTGAGCACCGCCCAACATATTTACAAGAATTTCTTTATAAATCAGACAGATATGTACAAGTAAGGTTGAAAATTATTGCTGGGTTTAAATCACACAGATATGTACAAGTAAGTTTGAAAATTATTGCTGGGTTATTTTGCTCACTCCTGGGATGCACACAGCAGGTTTTGGAGAGTCCCAGGAGGAACTGAGCCCCATAAATCAGAATTATTCTACAGAACAAACATTTTAAAACCCAATCAGCAAAAATTGAGCACCGCACGATAAATTTACATTAAATTCTTTATAGACTTGTACAAGTAAGGTTGAAAATTATTGCTGGGTTATTTTGCAAACCCCTGGGGCGCACACAGCAGGTTTTGGAGAGTTCCAGGAGGAACTGAGCCCCATAAATCAGAATTATTCTACAGAACAAACCTTTTAAAACCCAATCAGCAAAAATTGAGCACGGCCCAATAAATTTACATTAAATTCTTTACAAATCACACAGACATGTACATGTTAGGTCTACTGTTATTTTGCACACCCTTGAGGTGCACACAGCAGGTTTTGCAGAGCCCCAGGATAGAACTGAGCCACAAAAATCAGAATTATTCTATAAAACAAACCTTTTTGGTCGTGCAACCCAAAAAATTGAGCACCGCACGATAAATTTACATTAAATTCTTTACAAATCACACAGATATGTAAAAGTAAGGTTCTAAGTTATTGTTGGGTTATTCTGCACACCCCTGGGGTGCACACAGCAGGTTTTGCAGAGCCCCAGGATGGAACTGAGCCCCATAAATCAGAATTATTCTATAGAACAAACCTTTTTGGTTGTGCAACCCAATCAGCAAAAATTGAACACTGCCTAACATATTTACATTAATTTCTATAAATCACACATGTACAAGTTAGGTTCTACAAGGTTATTCTGCACACCCCTGGGGTGCACACAGCAGGTTTTGCAGAGCCCCAGGCTGGAACTGAGCCCCATAAATCAGAATTATAGAACAAACCTTTTTGGTCATAAAACCCCAAATAAAACCCAGAAAACATCGTGCACCACCCAATAAATTTACATGAAATTCTTTACAAATCACACAGACACGTACAAGTTAGGTTCTACTGTTATTCTGCACACCCCCGGGGGTGCACACAGCAGGTTTTGCAGAGCCCCAGGGTGGAAGTGAGCCCCCCAAAAGTGCTGAGGGTGGGGAGGACTCACGGCTGGGAATGAGCGGTCTCGTAGCGCTCGAAGGAGTGGGACAGGTCGTGCTTGTTGTTCATGTAGCACTGGGTGCACAGGTCGTAGTCAAAGCACATTTTGCATTTCCACCTCATGCCTCGGATGCCGTGCTTCTTGCAGCAGTCACAGATGATGTTGGGGTGACGGACACCTGGGGGAGGGAAAGGGAATGGGAGATGCACAGGAATTCCAAGGAAAATCAAGTTTTTAGAACCACCCTTGCAGCATTGCAGAATGCCAAAGCCTTCCAGAAAAGGATCTTTGAGATCCACACAAATTCCAGGGGAAATCAGCATCTCAGAATCACCCTTGCAGCATTGCAGAATGCCAAAGCCTTCCAGAAAAGGACCTTTCAGATCCACACAAATTCCAGGGGAAACCAAGTTTTCATAACCACCCTTCCAGCACTGCAGAATGCCAAACCTTTTTAGAAAAGGATCTTTGAGATCCACACAAATTCCAGGAGAAATCAGGATCTCAGAATCACCCTTGCAGCATTGCAGAATGCCAAAGCCTTCTAGAAAAGGATCTTTGAGATCCACACAAATTCCAGGGGAAATCAGGATCTTAGAACCACCCTTAAAGAAAAAGACTTTTGAGATCCACACAAATTCCAGGGGAAATCAAGATTTTAGAATCACCCTTGCAGCACTGCAGAATGCCAAACCCTTCCAGCAGAGCCTTTGCACACAGAGAAACAGGAATGCCCTGACCATGGCCAGGTGGTGCCAAAGGCTGTCCCAGCACACAGGACAGGGACAGGAGGTGGCTGTGCCCCTGCTCCAGCAGAGCCTTTGCACACAGAGAAACAGGAATGCCCTGGCCATGGCCAGGTGGTGCCAAAGGCTGTCCCAGCACATGGGACATTGGCAGGAGATGGCAGTGCCAGTGGCTGTGCCTTTGCTCATGCCCTGCTCCAGCAGAGCCTTTGCACAGAGGGAAACAGATGGTGCCAAAGGCTGTCCCAGCACACAGGACAGGGACAGGAGGTGGCTGTGCCCCTGCCCAGACCCTGCTCCAGAAGAGCCTTTGCAGAGAGAGAAACAGGAATGCCCTGGCCATGGCCAGGTGGTGCCAAAGGCTGTCCCAGCACATGGGACAGGAACAGGAGGTGGCTGTGCCTTAGCCCATGCCCAGCTCCAGCAGAGTCTTTGCACAGAGGGAAACAGGAATGCCCGAGCCATGGCCAAGTGGTGCCAAAGGCTGTCCCAGCACATGGGACATTGGCAGGAGATGGCTGTGCCAGTGGCTGTGCCCTTGCCCATGTCCTGCTCCAGCAGAGCCTTTGCACAGAGGGAAACAGATGGTGCCAAAGGCTGTCCCAGCACACAGGACAGGGACAGGAGGTGGCTGTGCCCCTGCCCAGACCCTGCTCCAGAAGAGCCTTTGCAGAGAGAGAAACAGGAATGCCCTGGCCATGGCCAGGTGGTGCCAAAGGCTGTCCCAGCACACAGGACAGGGACAGGAGGTGGCTGTGCCCCTGCTCCAGCAGAGCCCTGCACAGACAGAACCAGCAACGCCCTGCCCATCAGTCCCAGCATCGCTCCGCAGGCTGGCACTCGGGCAGGTGTGCCAGGGGGCAGGAATGGCTGTGCCAGGGGGCAGGAATGGCTGTGCCAGGGGGCAGGAATGGCTGTGCCAGGGGGCAGGAATGGCTGTGCCAGGGGGCAGGAATGGCTGTGCCAGGGGGCAGGAATGGCTGTGCCAGGGGGCAGGAATGGCTGTGCACCCAACGCCCTGCCCATCAGTCCCAGCATCGCGCTGCGCAGGCGGGCACGCGGGGCTGTGCCAGGGGGCAGGAATGGCTGTGCCAGGGGGCAGGAATGGCTGTGCCAGGGGCTGTGCCCTGCTGTGCTCACCTATCTGGGCGTTGTCATAGAGCAGCAGGTCGTAGGCCCCCTGGAAGCCCGTGCGGTAGTTGGTTCTGTTGCCCTGATCCCACTGCACCACCACGGTCTTGTCGGGCGTGGTGGGGCTGCCCGTGCGGCCGATCTCCACCACGGTGCCCACGTTGCCCTCGCCGCTGTCCTGGCTGCCCCACTTCCAGTCCACTCCACGGACTACCCTCATCCCCACCTGCATGCTGGCATGGGGGTCCAGGTCCATGGATCTGCAGAGCAAACCCTAAAACTGCTCCTCCAGAGGGGTCTCGGAGACGGGCGGGATCAGCGGCAGCATGGTCAGCACACCTGGAAATAAAACACGAGTTTAGGGGGGGCCACTCCACACTTCACATTTCCAACCCCAGAATCAGCTGCCTGCAGAAAAATGCCTGACCTGCTGAGGAGATAAATCTGTTTTATTCCCAGATTCTCACAGCTTTAGCACTGATGGGAGTGATGTAAAAATTAACCAGGCTTCCAAGGCTCATCAGCATCTGCAACAATATCCAAAAACTTATTGCAGAGAGCTGTGCATGAGGGAAGGGAACTGGGCAAAGAGTGTACAAAATTCCAGTACCAGCCCTTGATTCCAAACTCAAGAATAAGCACAGAGACACAACAGCAGCAGGAACAAGCAAGCAGAGTAAATAAAATTGAAATAAATGACAAAGAAAACACCGGCAGCAGGATTTTAGCAATAAAAGTGAATCTCAGTCCATTTTTCAGGAAGTCTCCTCACATGCATCTCATCTTAATACAGCACTGTTCAGTTTCACTTGCCCTTCAAGTCAGTTTTGGTTTTGATTTGAGGATACAGGAAGTTTTAAAACCTGAAAGAAACGTTTGCCTGTTTTCCCCAAGTAAGGGCAGTTTTTCAAAAACATGGCCAATGTCAGATTAATTTCAGTCTTTTCCTGTTATTTATCCACGAGCTACAGCAGGAACAGGGAAGGGCTGTTGCTCCACCTGCAATAAACCCAGCAGATTTAGTGCTGGGATCAGTGAGACAGGGACAGCTTTCCCAACTGTTGCCATGACAATGGGTAAATGAGGTGAACACCACACAGATGCAGCACATCCTCAATTCTGAATTAAATCAGATTCTTAAATCAAGCAGATTCTCAAATCCTTGTTTCTCTCTTCACCAGCATAAGACAGAGAAGAGGAATGTGGCTTTTAATATGCAGAGCCAGGAAAAATCTCCTCTAGCATCCTTGGGCATCCCTGGGTCTCTCTCTTCCTCCTGAGCTATCCACAACACCCAGATTTTCTCAAAAATTGAAAAAAAGGCCCAGGAGGATGGCAAGGGATGAAAAATGCAGATGGCACAAGCAAAGCTCCCCCAGTGCCACGACACAGAGGGTCCCCCAGCAGGAGCAGCTCTGGGCCCTGCGATGTGCTGTCAACGCTGCCACCCACAAATAAAAACATCTGAAACCACCAAACCCTAAAAATAAACCCATCCTCCAGCCAAACATCCCCTTTTGAATGCGTGGAGGAGTGGTTTGATGCAAAACCACATTTCCAACGTGCAGAGTGAGCCTGATCTCTGCTCAGCCTCAGCATCTCTGCAGCTTCAGCCTCTCGCTGTCCTCACTGCTGCGACATCCGAACACCTGGCACACCAGAGCAGCATCAAAGCCAGCTGTCCTTGTGAGCTCCACATCATCCTCCCTCCTCATCATCACTAAAAGACTCCCTGGGGGACTCTTTCATTTGTTTTTGTGGGGGTGGATGTAACATTGCTGAGCTGGAGGTGCACCAGTGCTCACTATCTTTGGTGAGAGCAGGAATTATCAAAGAATATCTTTTAGAGCCTAGTGAGATTTTCCCTCTCCCTCCAGATCAGAGATGAATAAAATGGACTATTTATTGCTTCAACTAAGAGGCAGAACTGCTTTTATTTAAAGGCTGCTATGAACCAGTCAAGCAGAGAAAACAAATGGGAACATCCAACAATGCAAAATAAAGCACAATTCAATAATTGTTACAGGGCTTGTCCCTAAAAAGAACCACCCCACCACCCCTTCCTGCTTCATCCAAGGGAACTGGGGGTGGGTGCTAACAGTGGGAAGGGGAATTCCATGCTTAGGGAAGGAAGTAACAAATTCCACAGGGTACTGGTGGGGATACAGGGTCAGTTCCCAGCCTTCTTCCTCTCCCCAGGAATGAATGAACCACCAGGGGTTTGGAGCTCTCAGTATTCCAGGGAAGGCAATGCCAGTTCCTGCAATTATTGATCAAAGAACATTCCAGGCTGTGCCACAAACCCATAAAACATAAATCCTTACAGCATGAAGAAGGATAATCCCTCCCTGTGGGAAAGGGATTTGTAGAAAATTCTTTAAGTTGGATAGAAGGATGCCTTCCTAACCTGAATATTCCATTTTCCACACAAGAAGGCACCAAGTGCATCCTGCACTCCCATCTCCTCCTCAGGGGAGATGCAGAACAGGAGGAAAAAGCTGTTCAAAACCCTCAGGGGATGAATTACAGTGTTCTCGTGGTCTGAGCCTTGCCAGAGCAGCATTATTGACTTCCTAAGTGGAGATGTTTCACTCACTGAAGCAAATACTCCTTCCTTGATGCTGCCTGGGCTGTAATTACTCCAGGTAGGGCTGCCAGAAATAATTCAGAGAGAAAACATCAGTTTCCCATGGGAATTTCAAGTAAGCATGAAGGAATAATCCAGATTTCTGAATCCTCTCTAACATTCTGACTTTGCCTGCTGTGACACAGGAAAGAGCAGCCTAGATGTGATCTCTCAGTTTTAGGAAATCCCCTACAACTTAACTGGAAAAAAGGGAAAATACTCCAGCATTCTGCCCATAATATTTAAGCTGCAATAACTGTGGTAACTTTCTGCCAATATTCAAATATTTCAGCCCAATTTCCACCTCGTGGGAGGCAAAGGTTGCTGCTGGTGTGGCCCCACAGCAAACAGAACGCAGGGCTGTAAGCAGCTGACAAAAATCAGTGCCTGGTGATCACATTATTTGAACAGCATAGTAAACAGAGGACGTGTTTAAAAGAAAAAAAAACCAGCCTTTTTTTTTTTTTTTTTCCCTTTACACATGTTTTGCAGTTTGAATTGTCTTGAGGTGAATGGCTCCACTTTAGAGAGATTTGCCCATGCAGGAGATGCTTCCTCAGGTAACTTCAAATCACACACTTCTCCAAAATTCCCAATTTCACCAACTGATCAGCCCCCAAATCAGCCAGCATTACACTGAATATTTGAAAATAACACCACTGTCCATTTCTTACTCTTTTCATTCTCTTGTGACTCTTCCAGTGCCATTAAATAAAGTCTTACCAAGTCATTAGAAGTGTAAATTGATCAGCTACCACACTGTAAAGCTTTAAGACTTAATTTTGCATATCCTCACATCAAAAACATCAACATAATTTTGGTGTACTGGCTGAATTGAGCCAGCTCATATTGAATTAAAAACTGTTTTTTAGCACTTTCTCCACTACTCCTGTGAGCATTTCCCTACAGAAATAAGGCTCAGCAGGGTTTTCCCTCTTTCCTGACACAAATTTCACAGCTCAATGCGCCATCAAGTATTGCTCCCTACCTGCAAGCCAGAAATAAATACTTTTGTGTTCTTTAGTAACACAACCAGGATCAAATAGCTCTGCTCAAGGCTTTCAGCTGCTAAGTTTATTACCATTCATGCCAAAACCCTGAAATTCACACAGATATAGTTGCTATTAGATGAAAGCAGAGCAGAAAACCAGCAAAACACACAGAAAATCAGTATTTTTGACCCACCACCACATGGAGAGTGCCTTGCAGCAGAGAAGCTGGGGCTGCCCCATCCCTGGAATGTCCAAGGCCAGGTTGGACAGGGCTGGGAGCAACCTGGGGTACTGGGAATAGGATGGGCTTTAATGTCCCTTCCAACCCAAACCAGCCTGGAATTCCAGGAGATTCCCCTGCAAAGCCTCAATGACACTTTTCTTCCCTTCTCCTTGTGCAGTCAGGAATTTGTTTAGTCTAAAATTGTGCAAAATGGCATCACTGGCACAGGGGAGGGAGGCAGAGAGGAGCAGATGCTGCTTTTGTGGCTTAAATACCAACAGCAGATAAATGAAGGCATTTTACTGATCAATCAGCCTGAGATGAAATCAAAAAATCAGATATGGGGCAGCTGCCACTGGTGAAACCAATCAATAAAAAAAAAATAAATAAATAAAAGCCTGAGTGAGGTGAAATCATTTCCAGGGCCCAAACCTCACATGCTCCCAGAGTATATTTAACTGTATTACATAAACAGAATAAAGCAGGTGATTAATAGGCCTTTGCTCAGGGATTAATATCTTGTCATTCCAGCATGAGAGGAGGCACAGGCACATCCTGAAACACAAGGGAGGAAATGCTAAAAATAACCAGCCAGGCTCAGTCCCCACCGAGCATTTTATCTCTGCAATCAACACTTGGCCTTTACAAATGCCAGCCCATTGATCTGTTTTGCCCAAACTGAATTTTACATTTTATTTTACACTGGTTGTGTTCTGGCACTGAGTTGTTTCTTTCAGTAATATTTGAGTGGTTCTCACTCTGTTTTTCCATCTATTACTTCACCTTGTTAAAGGATGTAGGTCTAAAGGAAGCACCAGCAAATTTATTAATATCCAGGAGCTTTGTGCAAATTTGTCGTTCCAGCATTCTGGTTTCCTAAAAAATGGACATCAACCTCAGAATAAATCATCTAAATAAATGATCTCCCACCTAAAGGTCAGAGAGTAGTTACACATTTTAAATTTTGGGTTCATTGTGTGTGAGTAAGCCAGGACCCAAAAGCTGCAGTGGACACAAAAACTGCACTGAGCTGGCCTTGAACCTTCAATTTAACTCAAATTTCAACCCCCCTGTGATGACAACAGGCACAGAAAAGTGAACCTGCTCCAAAAACGTAACACTGATCTGCACCAAATCCAAACTGGAGAGCTGTGGACCAAAAAGGGCTTTTTGTCAGCAGTGAGTAACAAAATTAATTAAACAGAAAGTGACAGTGATCACCCAGGAGCAGAGACACAGCACAGTGTTTTCCATGAATCAGCTCCCTGCTAACTGCAGGACTAAGCCATGAATTGGATTGCACAACGGTCAATATTTGCTTTGAAACACCGAAATGCAAACAGCACCTTTAGGAAACACCAGCACAAACCACAAATAAGCAGCTGGCCCAGGCTGGCACCAGCAGAAGCTGTGGCACACCACAGGGCACTGGGTTTGGCTGGGATTCCCTGCATTTCCTCCACTGCTCTGCTTTTGGGACCCAAGCAGGGCTGACAGC